GAATATTTAGATAATAGGAAATCAAAAATATTTATAGTTTTTTAATTAGTTGAAATAAAATCAGAAATTTTTATTATTATTTTTATTATTATTTATTATTATTTTTATAGAGAATTTTATAACAACTTTTGATTTTCTTTGATTAGATAAGAAGGAAAAAATTTTTGAAAAATTTTAATACAGAAATTAAAAATTGTAAAAGAATGATAATATAATGATATTAAATACTGATAAAGTAGATGATATAAAATAAAGAATTTTATTTATTTGAATAAAATGTAATTGATAACCTATTGATAAAAATAGAATAGGATTTTTTACGATTTTTCTCGTGATCTCTCGACTTTGAAGTATTAACAACATGTTGATATAGACGCTTGATAATAATCGTAATTAACTATTTAATACTGCAATTTAGAGAGAGAAAGAAAGAACTTTTGCATTATTAAACAGATACAATTAAAGCAGAGAATTAATACGAATGCGTCATTTCACGGTTTCAGATTCGTTCGTTACGCATCGTATCGACCTTATATTAAGAACAGTGTTTTTATGCTTGTTACAAGATATAAAATCATAATTGTAAACCCAATTATCCCGATTATATAAACTATGTTCCATCATGAATTTCTAATTGTTCTAATAACATAGCAACAAATTCGAAATCATTACATTAATTGTAATAAAAATATTCGAATGATATAATTAATTTATGTCACATGTGAAAATTACGAATCGATATGCATATTTTCAATGAATATTTATCGTCGCGCGAAATAACATTTGTTTTTCAAAGAGATAAAAAAAATCTTACTATATAAAGAAATTTTCTATTAATAATCATGTATAAATATAATGCAAATATTTTTTTTTTACATGTAATTTATTTTTTTTCAATCTTTATAAGTAGTTATAGTTATACACATCTAATCGCATAATAATTGAATATTAACAAACAATCATTTTTCCTATGTTCATAAACGGAAGTAGTGGAAGTAAGTAAAAAAAAAAAAAATGGAGGGCGAAGACGCATTTGAATGATTGCGCTCGTTGTCGGTCTCCTTCGCTAATTGAGCCATTGTCTAGGTCTGGTTAGGCACGTCTAAAAGCCTAATGGCCGTTTCCTAGAGACGCGCCAGCCCGAATACAGAACGAATTAGAATAATTCGTTCCGTCTGGCTGCGTCAGATCGTGCAACGTCGTTCACCGTCAGTTAAGAGAAAAACCTGTCCTGTCTCTCTCCCTCTCTTTTCCCTCATTCACCAAGAATCAGTGGTTCCGCTTTAAATTTCGACGCTTAACTTTCATTTCAATGGTGTACACAACCACGTTATATATCCTTGCTTTTTGTAAACACCACTTTTATCCGACCACGCGAATGTTTTTCATTAAAACCGAACCGACATCGCAAAAACATTTTATCGTTCGTCGATTCTTCCTGCTTGGACGTAAATATTTTATATGATGAAAAAAAAAAAGCATCGAGATAAATATCATTCAGATCACGTAGCGGATTTATCGCAATAACAGATGTTTCGATACATTGTATTCGACATGGAGGGCTATAATTTATCCACAGATAAACATGGAAAACTTTAAACGCCCGTTAAATAGTCGATAAAAAAAAAAAAAAAAAGATTCATTGCCGACGAATGTAACGACGATCGATCGATCATTCTTGGAAAAGTTCAAGCCGATCCCGAACAGGATCGAGAAAGACGGGTCTTCCTTTTAATTTCTAATTTCATTACAGATTCTCGAGCAGCCCCATAATGGCCTCGATACGCCATAGGCCATCTGGCACGATCTCTAAAAGATCTATATCTATATCATATACCGATCGAGGATCGATCAGCGGAATGTCTAGATGGCCTGGTCGCCGAACGATCAACCGATTTTATTCGAAACTCCATGTAATCATGCTACATTATTTAGTCAAATTTACATGGCAAATTGCACGAATAAACGGATTGAATGTTTTCTTCCTGTTGGAGGAGCGATGCAACAACAATGGATTCATTTGAGTAAACATGAACGCATTTACAGAAATATTCCGGTGTTACTAAAGCGAAAGATTATTCAAGTAAAAAAATCAATTGAAACGCATCGATCTGTTAATTGAAACAAGAAGGAAAAGATTCATGATGATATTTCTAAATTTTTTTAAAAAATTTTGCATTTTTTTTTATTAAGTTATATTTTTTTAACATGAAATTTTGTTTCTAGATTTCTGGATTTAAAATTTTTGAAAAAAATTCGCGTGTTATCTCCTGTTGAATTCTTCTCATACAAAGTTGAATTTTTTGGCAGTAAAAATTTTCAATTCTATATTAGAAACATATAGAAATATTAATTTATAAGTAAAATATATAGATATCTTATATTTTATTTTCATATTTCACAAATCCAAAGATTGTCTTAGTAAGTAATTTATTTTTATCTTTTTTTTTTTTCTTATTAATAGATTAAAAGTACAATTAATTGTTCAAACTCTTTCAAGAAACTTCGATTTTCTTAGGAAGATATAATTATGATGTAAAGGGATAGAAGGGGAGGAGTGTTGCGTTTCGTGATCGTGCTTGCTGAATAAGATTTTTTCCAGGGAGTGATGGAGGTAAGAATCTTACGGGCGATAAGGCACACATTAATTGAAGAATAACATCCGGCATGGAGCTGGTGGCAGACCGTCGTGACATCATTGTTTACAACCGAACGAAAATGGAATTAAACGAATCACCCAATGACCAACCTATTCAAGAGCGAAAGGGGTAATTTTAGAGTGATAACATTAACGAGAATTAGTCGGCTGTGTCGATAATTTCAAAAGAATTCGATTCATAGTGACCTATTTTCTTCAAATGTTTAGTAATCAAACAGGAATTGATACTTAAAAAAACGTTCTCCTTGGTATGTATATTTTTGATATAATTCTTTAATAGTGAAGAATGCGTAGAATGTTTATCAAATTAAATCATTTGAAATTCATTCGAATGAATTTAATTTGTTTTGATTTTTTTTCTAATTCAATAATCAAGTGAAAAGAAATATTTAAAAAAATGTTTACTTTTTATATATTTTTAATTTAATTCTTATACAATGAAAAATTTGTGAAATTTTTATTAAAAATGGAACTTAATAAAAAATAATTATAATAAATTAAAACAAAATAAAATAATTATTGAATATAAGAATATAGAAAGTATTGTTTCATTATAATTTGATAATATTTATGCTATGATTTTATATTTCCATTTTTTTTTAATTTAATTTCTTCATGTTTACAAAAAAATAGAAATAGAAAATGTTCATTAAGCTTAAACGGAATATTAATTGGAAGAATATTATTCAATTTGAATAATGGAAATTTAAAAGATCAAATTCATCGTTTAAATTGATCATAGTTACTGTTATTTTGCTAACGATCGATTATGAGCCAATGGAGCCTGTCCACCTGTCGTGTTCGATGAGAAAGCAATTCTGACCCAGCAGCGGAACTAATAGCTTTGACGAAGAACTAACGTCTGCACATTTAATTAGATAGAAAGATATTGCAACTAAATGAATGCACATTTATTCTATACATTATAAAATAAAAATAAAATAAATTGCAAATATCAGATTATAAATAACTGAACCTTAATTGCATTACATTAATAAATATAAATATTTTAATAACAAAAATTAAACTAAACTAAAATTATTGAATTTGAATTTGAATTTCCAAACATTATCAATGTCCAACATTATTAAAAAATCAAAAAAATAGAAAGTGAAAGACTATTTTTTTAAGATAATTATAGATATATAAAAAATGACATGTTCCATAAATAAATTTCAAAATCAATCTAAATGCCATTTTCGTCATCAGATACTGCCCCTAAATGATCTACGGGAAAAAAGTAATAGCCGAGCATGTGGTAAAAAGATGATTCTCTCGCAAGTTGCAAGAGGAGAAGAAGAATAGAAGTACAATTTAGAGCGAGAAGCAAAGGTCCCAGGGTCATCCAAGAGGGTTTCGTTTTATGATCTTTCTTCAACCGGCAGGAGCCATACACGATCAGGAGTGGAAGGATCAATGGATAAAAAAAATAAAGAAAGTCAATGATGATAAAGAAGGAAAGAAGATTGGAGTTAAGAAATGGAAGCTTGCTAAGAACGAATAGCTGTGCCAAATTAACCATGATTTATAGAGATGGCCAATATTCCATTCTATTAACATCGCATTATCCTTCCGTCAAATTACATATCGACGACCCGGTTTTTTCAGAAGCCGATCCTGGCACAAAGTAACTTTTGCATTCATCATTTCGTTATCTCGAGATCAATCGACCCCCCTGTGTTATTCTATCTTAATATCTATAAATTACTTGTGTAATTGATTTTTTTTTTATTTATTTATTTAACGTTACACTTAATTTTGCAACAATTACAACAATTGCAAGATTCATCGTTTTTTTTTAAATATCATCAATTTTTTTATATTTATTTTTTCAATTTTCAAATTATCCTTGTTCTATGAATATCTAAATCTTTCTATTATCAAAAGATTTAAAACAATGGAGGGGAAAACGCTTTTTTATTTGCAAAATTATTTTATTCTAAATAAACGATATGATATGATTAAAATTATAATATGATTAAAATTAGAATCAATGTGTTATTGATCATTAAAAAAAAAAAAACCGAAATTTTTCAGTTTTTCTTCCTGATTACCGTTCCAAGGTGTACAGGTATCCAATATAGTACGATCGATCACCGATTATAGCTCGGGATAGGCATGGTGTACAATGTTGCACTCTATTGGTTGGTTACATATCGCAACATTATACGTATATGCGGCCGGGGCATCAAGTTGCAGGCTGCAATGTGTATACGCGTTTAATTAATTCGCCTGTACACGCGCCATATGAATCTCATTCCCGTATAGTTCGATGAATTTCCCAAATGAACGTAAGTAAAGCATATTTCACATCAAAATTTTCTATTAATTGCTGATACCTGATATACAGAGTTTGAACGTTCGATTCCAGTATAGATTAAGATCAAGGATGATATGGATGATGTAATAACAACAAGTCAATTTTGAACAATTTTAATTGGGACAATTTAACATGCATTTATGACCAAAATCGATTTCACTCACGTTAATTATCGAGGGAATTATCGAATAAATTAAACATGGGTACTTAAATTTACGCATAAATCTAATACTTATATGATCAATTCAATATAATTATTCTTCAAATATAGAAGTATTGATATGAAAATATATTTTAATGTACTTCAATTCTATATCCATTAATTATATTGCATTCTAATTATATTAAACAATTTAATAGATAATAGATTTGATTCAAAATCAAATATCTGAAACCAGAAGTAAAAAAAAAAAATTCAGCCCAAAATATTTATGTTGATTTGACTATCTAAAAAAAAAAAAAAAGCAATTAAATTTTAAAACAATCATAAAAGAATGAATTCGCCAATGAATTAACTCTTAAAATTTCATCTACACAGGAAACAACAACCAAAAGAAAAAACTTCTTAAAAATTCTATCAAATTCCCGCAATAGTCGCAAAATGACAATCTAATTCTATAAATCTTAACCATATATCGTAATGCGGGTGGAGAACATTATCCACGAGCACAAAGCTGTACACACCAAGGAAACAAATAAAGAAACAAGAGAGAAAAGAAAGAAAGAATAAAGAACGGTTGGACAAGGCGCATCGCGTACGCGCGCGTAGCTCGTGTCCGGTCAGCCGTTAAGAAGGAAGCTTCAGGCCGATGTCGAAGATAAGAGCGGGGACGTGTCCCTCTGTGCGTGGCATTCTCGTGGACAGAGAAGTGGTACCGAAGTTCGGGGACCAAGTGTGCCAGGCCCTCACGTAATCCACGGATACGTCGCGACGAATTTGTACGTCTGCCCAATGAGCCAGAAGCCACCCTGCGTTAGCCTCGTTTCGCGTTCACTGTTCGTCTCCTCTTTTCGGCCCGTGTTCCACTGCTACATTCCTCGCCCACTAGTTATATACATGTACACACATATATACGTACGTATATACATACATATATACACGCACGTACATACGTATATATATGCATATATATATAGGAGAGAAGCCACGAACTGGGTCCCTCTATCTTCAAAATGGCTACCGT